TGGATTGCCGAAAATCTCAAGCACACGGACTTTAGATTTCCCAAAGATATAATGTAGAATTTGATGACATTCATTATCATATTTTGTAAGATAGGTATATTTTTGTTATTTTTTATACACCCAATCATAATGTCATCGCTCACATAAGTTGTGTGTTTCTTTTATTACCATTCATTATCCAGTTTCTGAATATAGGTGTCCACCTTTACTCTTTCCATTGGTTATTATTGAATGTTTGCATGATTTGTTGCAACGCCTAAAAACAAGATACTACAGGATGATACAGATTGGCGTCATTTAGAGGGTTTCTATAGAAAATTTATTCAACTCAGAACTTTCCTGTAACCACATGACGATATACATCACACCAGTATAGGTAGGTACTTAAAATTGAGAAAAATATATATTATTTCAAGATTTTTTTCAACATCATTCATCGTAATAGTAGGTTTACTTGAATAAGGGAGCAAATTCTCGAATTATTTCCCTAAATTGAAAAAATGAGTCAGTATCACTTGCTCGTCGATGAGAATAATTATCACCATTCAACTAGAAGTTGACATTACTTTCAGCCTCATCGAGATATTTCCATCTAATGAAACTATGAGAGAAAATCACTAACAATTTGGACCACAAATCACAACCTTGCTCGGTTATAACCTATACAGATAGTATTGAAAATACTTTCCACTTATAGGTATACTTACCCTTCTTATTGGTCTTATTTTCAGATCATCAATTACAACAAACTGCGTAATGGAATTGTTAATTGTTACCCTGGGACGAAATCTAATTTTCAAGTTTGAAGGCATTTGACCTTGAATCCAAAACAATATTTTGCCCGCGGCACATTTTTTTCATACAAAAATGTGGTCCGAGTTTCTTCGCACCCTCTTTTTGGCATACCTACTATAGAGTTTTAAGTTATCACTCTCATCATCATGTAAGAACTATAAGCTTTCGATGTTCTCTATAAAGAAAATATAACTTCCCCAAATATTTCAAGTGAATGAAGTTTTTGATGGTTCAAGATTTCAACATAATTATTTAAAAACTTACTAGTACCTGGAAAGATGAGTCCATAATATCTATACAATACTCAAGTAACTATGCGGCAAACATATTTTCAACTGAATTCACCATAATATCTGAACAAATTAGAAAATAGATACTTCTGGGCCTCTTCCATGGATAGATAACCCTGGATAACCATCGTAGTTACAACTTACAGTCCATGTACAGATACACCAGCTTCATCTATGTATTATTGGGTACGTTCACAGCCAGCACTTTAACAAAATTTTGCTACATCACACATCTTCACCAACACGACACGGCTCTATCGATTCGAACGATCGAAACCATCGAATAATAATTGAATACGGGCATGACCCATTACCGAGAACAAAAGTGAAAATGATCGCGATCTGTAGCGATGTCAACTCCAAAACTGATGAAAAACTAGAGCGAAATAAGCTGAATTACGATTGTCGAATGATTGTCTAATAACCGTCATACATGTGAATTGCTATAGGTATATAGTTATTGATCGTCAACGTACAATGCTACAGGGTCTCTATAAATGATCGTAACATCGTAGTGGATGTTGACATTTTTTTTCCATTTGTCGCTTTTCTACTAATGCTGTTAATAACATTTAACGACCAAAAAGAGAGGAAGTGATCATATACAGGATCTTTTTTTATATCGTTTTGCATACACTATGGAAATGTATCTCAAAGAAAGAAGAGTCCAATCCCAGGCAACCAGATGACGTTCCAGTGACGTCTTTTTCACGTCACTTGAATGACCAAGGTGACGTCAGTAGTTGACGTCGCATTGACGTGACAATGAGGTGAATAAGTCACAGCTCAATGACGTCATATTACTCACGTCGTATTGACGTCATTCAATCAGCAAACTGTGACGTCCGACTGACGTCATAATGACGTCAAAATGACGGTTG